TCTTAAGTCCTGGAGCAAATTCCATCTACCACTGGGTTGTTTTACAGCTAAGAAGTCCACATGCAAGGCAACTCTTAATAAGTATGAGATTCTACAACCTTAGTTTTCAAATTTGTGCTTTTCTGTTTGAAGATATATGTTTTATAAAACCTCCTGAAGGCAGAAGTGTCAGAGTCACATTGTGTGATGAGCCGGTGGCATGGGAGACAACAGTGTTGTGGGCATCTTTAGAAAACACAGTATGCCAACAAGGCCCTGGGTAATGCACACATTTTTCACTTGGCTGATAATCAAAAGGTTGGCAGTTTGAACCCACATGGTGGCACTGTGGAAGGACAGGTCTGGAAATTTACATGAGGCTTGTTGATGTTGCAGTCAATTGCTGTCAAGCTAATTCCAACTCTAGGTGATCCTATGTTCAGACCAGAACTGCTGTGTAGAGTTTGCAAGGCTTCCTTTTGTACACGGATCTCCAGGCTTGTCTTCCGAGGTGCCTCTGGTTTACTGTAAGCCACAAACGTGCCAGATAGTAGTTGTGTGTCACCCAGAGAACTGTCTGAAGCAGTTCCGCTCTATAACTCCTGGATAGCCAGCAGACTAAACTGACTCAACAGCATCAAGTTTGATTTGTTTGTTTTACCATAATATGTATCTTAAATCATTTCGTAAACTTAAATTCTTTTCAGTAAACTCATTTTAAGGTGGAGAAGCATGCAGTAGTCCCAAGTGGTGTAAAACTCCATCCAAAATAGTTAAAATGGAACAGCTTTTGTGGTTTAGGACATACCAAGATATTCCCTAGTAGCCTATTAGTATAGTTTCTGAAAAAACTTTCAAAGTATGCAAAAGCTAACTGGACCTTTTCTAAGATAAGAAGGTAACTGGCTAGGAAATAAATACCTATGTTCTTATAAAGTCATTAAAGAAGTGTTGACATCTGCAAATGAGAGCCGGAGTTATTCAATCATGTGGATGTGTACTTATATCTCAGAGTAGCTGGTGTTTATGATATCTTAAATAAAGCTCATAGAAGATGCTTGTAGATTTAAGACTACATTCTACCATAACGGGGGACATAAAATTGCAGCTGAAGGCAGCAGGAGAAAATTTACTGGAAAAAGCTGAACATCACAAATATATATTTTATATGTATTTTTTGGTCAGTACTCTGTAAAATGGTTGGGATGAAACATGGCATTTGGAAAAAGAACCGCAACCTTATAATATAATGGAATGTACATTCTTGCATGAAATGAAATGTATTTGCATATTTCCAAGCAGCAGAGTCGGTTGTTATTAGTGTTTTTATTTGACTTTTCCCTCCACCCAGAGGTTGACTTCTATTTTGTCCTGGTCTGATTGCCCTGTAATTCTTTCGGTCTCAGTCAATAGAGAACAGCGGTTAAGCGTGTGGCCTTCGGGTCGGACTGACCTCTGTCTGATCTCAAACGAATAAATACGCCTGTGAACGTTCATATTTGAACGAGGAGTAATTGCTGCTTTTGGAAGCTGCTTCTGGATCGTATTTTGGAATCCCTCGAGGACAAAGGAAAGATCGCTGAGTTAGGAGCAAGAAATCGGGTTTCTGGCTTTAAATCTGCCACTTTCTTGCTGTCCTAATATCTCTTTAGACCTCTGTTTCTTACTTACTGAATAAATTAAATGGAGCTGAAGTAAACCATTCTTTTGGCTTCAGGTTTACTATGGACTAAAAAATTCAAAAATACTTTGTGAGTTCTGAAGCAGTTTCCATGTGGGAGATGTTACTGTTATTTTTGCAAGCAATGAGCTTTTTTTACACTATTATCTTAGTAATTTTCTAATAATATTATTATAAATAATATTGGAAAATTATTACCTAAGATAATACTTAACAGGAACAGGAAACTATAATTAAAACTTTAATGAAGATTATCCATCAAATTTAGCATACATGCTGTGGAAAAACTGTTTAACAGCTTTCGAACCTATAACATCTGATCTGAAAATTCCTCCGGGGAAGTCTTTTACAGCTCTGAAAGTAATACCTTAACGATTCCTATGAGCCAGCTCCTAGCTCTGAGTATATTGAGAAGGCAGGTAATCCTGAGGGAGAGGGAGTGGTTAGATTTCGAGATGCTCTTTAATGTTTCACAGTGAGTTTGTTTGGGGGATTGGTCAGAAGGGCTGAATTTAAAAGGTGAATGCAGAAATATCAAAGATTGGAAGGTAATGCAAAGTTGTTTGCTAACAGTTGGGCCCTTGAATATGGCCATGTGATAGAGTGGAAAGTGCAATGACCCGGAAATGAGATGTCCCGAGACCCACTCACCCACCTTTCGTAAGATATTCTGTTTTACTTGCATTGTTTTTTGTTTTCAACCTCCAGGCCATCAAGAAGCCATAGCAGTGTGCTTGCACATCCAGACCCAACAAACAGTCAATGACTCTCTGTGTGATGCAGTCCACCGTCCCCCAGCCATGAGTCAGGCTTGTAACACGGAGCCCTGCCCGCCCAGGTATGTCTTGTCTGTGCTCCTGGGACATGGTCTGTCAGGTGCTCCCTCCTGCCCTCCCTTAAACACATGTATGACGAGACTTATGAGTTCATACAAGGGAGAATGTCTAACCCAGCTTTAGAGCTCTGGACTCGAGTTCTGTTCCCATCAGATTCTTACGTAGATCTTCTGTCCGTTGTTGGCACACTGAGCAGGAATGCATCTCCCACAGATGAATATAAACTTCCTTGATGTTTGCAAAGCCAGGAAAGTTAGCAGGTTGTCCTTTTTACCTTCTCCAGGACATTTCCCCTCACATTGCACTGATTCACACAGGATGTGACATAGTGTTTACTGGTTCCATTTCATGTTTGTTGAATGACTGAATGATCTGTCTGCTATGTAATGCTCACAAAGCATGTTGTTGCCCTTCCCAGTTGAGTTTGCCTTGTTATTATGGGGTGTAATAAGCCTCCAAAATAGCTGAAGTTGTATTCACTTTGGTCTCCTAGGTCTGAATAGTTGACCTTGAAAATGAAAGTGTTCATCAACAAACGTTTGGATAGAGAAACTGTGGTATATTCACAACAATGGAATATTATGCAGCTGAAAAACAAAGAAATCATGAAATATTGTACAAAATGGGTGACCATGGAGGACATTATGCTGAGTGAAATATCTCAGTCACAAAAAGACAAATACTTCATAATACAACTGTTATACAACAGGACTGACATAGGGGTTGGGAGGAAACTAAGAATAAAGGGGATAAATAATCTACACGGCATTGAAACAGACAAGGGAGAGAACTGTAGATATTATTGGCATGACAAGAGTCCAGAACAAGAGCTGCATAGTAAAGCTGTCTGGGGTGGGGAGAGTGTATAACAATGAAAGAACTTTTTTCCAAAGAAAAAAGTGAATGGGAGGAGGGAAGGGGGCTGGGAGGAAAATGTGCAACAGTGAATGAATGGAAATCCAAGATCTTTATAAACTTTTATTAAAATTTCAGTAAAAAGAAAGTAAATTTGTTCCCTCACATAAGTCCTTATGGGGAGGGTAGATTTCCTGGACCGGACTTTCGAGTGTCCTCACTTATGTAGATACAGAGGACTATAACCCAGCACCACTGTTTTTCACACAAGGCCTTTCATAATCTAGTTTTCAGTCTTTCTCTTCTTCTCTGTTATGGTTATAATCTCAGCTACTCTTTTGTGAAAGACCACTTGCCAAAACTTCAAAAGCCCTTTGTCATTACTTCCTTTTCTTTTGCCAGAGTTCATCTAAGGGAGGACCATTATTTACTAAAGGCGAGTTTTACTACATCTAGGTCTCTTAAGTATTGAAAAGGATTACTATGTTTCTTCTTCCTTCCTAGAAGTCTTATTTGAGAAATGCTTACTCAAGAAATAAGTTGGTCTTCTGGAATCCTCTTGATCCTTCTGATTTTTATTCCATGGAGTCTGTTGATAGTGCTGTAGAATCGCCTGCCTTTATGGGGTCAGAGTGGGAAGAGCGAGGATCATATGGATGAGACCCTAGAAATCAGGTCCTCCACATTCTTATGAATTATAGTCTCCATCCTCTGTCATCTCTGTGGGAAGGCAGCTCTGGTGCATGCCTTTTACTTGATGGAACCACACTTAGAATGTGATAGATGTGGTGTTTATCTCCATCAATGTATATCTGGTTTCATTTCTTCTGTTAGTGTAGCCTGGCCATCCAGGGGAGATGATAGCATAAAAGCCTGTAGATGTGTGTTAGTAGAAGAGACCCCCAACAAGAATAGAGAAGTCTGCTTTCTTCACACCCCACTTCCAGATTGATTGAATCCTAGAGTAATCCATGTTAGAATGCTTTGTCTCAAAGTGGGAAGTAGGAGGCAGGTTTTAAATAAAAATAACCACCTGTACCACTTAAAATTAAGTCTTACAAAGAAAAAAGGGTGCTCTGGTCGCTTACTGGTAAGGAGTTTCACTGCCGGCCAAAAGGCATGTGGTTCAAATCCACCAACTGTTCCACAGAAGAGAGATAGACAATCTCTGGGATCTTGAGAGCAAAGATAATGAAAGGTCAGTGAAGGAGAAGAACACTGCCAATGAGATAGGTTGACATGGTGTCCTCAGCAGTGGGCTCAAGTGTGTTGGAGATGATGAAGATGGCACAGGATAGAGCAAGGTTTAGTTTACCTGTTGATAGGCTCACTATGAGTCATACTCAACTTGATGACACCTAACGACAACAATCTAGATTTAGGCATATATACAGCTGTGACCTAAACTATGAGGAGGAGTTGACCAGGACAAGTGTGAAATACTGGCTGAAGGAGCAGCATATGCAAAGGCTCAAAGGAAAGAAAAAGATTGGTGTATTCTAGGAACTGGACTGAAGGAAAATCAGTGTGTCATGCGATGAGGTAAGATGTGACAGAGGCCAAGTCCCTCGGGGCCTTGTAGGTCACGTCAGCGTTTGGATTTGCTCCATAGTCCATGGAAAGTCACTGGATGGCTTGAGGGAGGAAGTAATGACTTGTGTTTTCATTTTTACAAAATTACTCAAGGCCTGAAGTAAGGGAAGATAAAGGTTGAAACCGTGAGATCAATTACAAATGCTGCCACACGACTTGAGCTCTGGTGGCCTAGTGGCAAGAAGCTGCACTGCAATCCCGAAGGCGCTTGGTTCAAGGCCACCAGATGCTTAATGGGAGAAGGATAGGCAATCTCCTCCTATACGATTAACTGTCTCTGAAAACCTGCCAAAGTGTCAGCTATGGGTTGATTCCAACTCTACAGTACACAACAACAACTACACTACGTAAACTAGATTTGGTTGTTGCATGTCTGTGTGCTATAAAGTTGACTCCAACTCCCAGCAAGTCTCCTAAGTATAAAACTATCCCCAAAGGTGTTCTAGGCTACAGCCTTGGAGAGAGTCAATGGCAGGTCTTTTCTGTCCTGGTGCTGCTAGTGCCAGCCTAGCAGCTCCAGGACAACCTTTTAATTAGCAGATGAGAACTTCACCATTATTCTAGAAGGGCTTCTTAACCAGTTACTTAGCCTATTACAGTTCCAGGCACGTGGTTCAAATCCACCCTCTGTTCAGAGGTAAGATAGGCAGAAGAATCTCCTCCTTTGTAACTTCCAACATCTAAAAACGCTCTGGGGGGTCAGCTATGAGTTCATTCTGACTAGACAGCACCTAACAACTGGTAGTCTAGAGCTAAGAAGTTGTGCTGCCAACATTTAGAAAAATGGTTCAAATTCACCGGCTGCTCCAAGAGAGAAAGATGGAATATCTTCTCCCGTGCTATTTACAGCCTCTGAAAACCCACTGGAGGGTCAGTTGTGAGTCAGTTCCCACTTGACAGCACATAACAACAACAACAACATACCTTTAAAGCAAGATTTCCCATGAGTCTCCAAGTATTGATTCCTCAGATTGTCATTTCCTTTATAGTACGTGCAGGATACCACTGTACTCTGCACAAAATGATTGAATCTGTTTCTCTGTTTGTAGCTATGAACATAATTGTACTTCTGTTATCTTTTACAGATGTGCTAGATCATCCTTCAGAGAAACACTAGTTTGACACTAGTTTTAAAATGGTTCTTCCTTGTGCTCTAGGGTTTTAGAGAGATACTTTAAGGATGCCACAGTCCCAACTCTTTTCAATTTTTTTTTAAATTGCTGCTTGAGTAAACATTTACAGAAGAACTTAGCTGTCTATTAGACTATTTATGCACATTTTTTGGTTACATTAAATATCAATCCTTCTATGCAACAGCCCTCTTCTTCCCTCCTCTTTGGGTTCCCCGTCATCATTCATACTTTTTTCCTGCCTTTTCCTGCTTTCTGAATTTTGGTTTTGGAAAATGCAGCCCTTTGGTCTGGTCTACTTAATTATTTTGAGGAATATGTTACTTGCAAGTATTACTCACCACTTGACCTGTCTTTTGTTTGGCTACTAGGTGTTCCTCAGGGGTGAATTGAGTTCTGTGTTTGAAGGATGTGGAAGGGCTGTACCTCTCTTTGTCAAGCCAGTAAATCTGGTGTTCTGTAGGATTTTTAATTGTCTACATCATGCTTGGAAGGGTGGAGGGACAGCACAGAAGAGGAAGACCCTGGATGAGATGGGTTGATACAGTAACTAGAGCAATTGGGGTAGGTGTGTTGGAGATGGTGAGATTGGCTCAGGACAGGGCAGGCTTCAGAGTAGTTTTATATATGGTCATATGAGTTGCAGATCACTCAATGGCACATAACAACAACAGCAATATTTTTTATATTCTGTTGAGGACTTTCTGTGGTTCTGATCAAAGTGGTAACTTATGTACTGTTTTCAAATGAGTAGAGAAAACTCATTCATTAGACAGTAAAACTAGCAAATACCAGAACCTGTTAGAGAAGAAAAACCCAAGTATTTCCCACTAATGAGGAGCAATAGCAAAGTGCTAAGGCTGCATCCTGCCAAAGGCATAAAACTGGTGAGACCTGGAAAAACACAGCAATCCTGTCAAATTTCAACTCGCACAAGTTCCAGTGAGTCTGCTTTTTAGCAAGTGTTTTGTTGCTCGAAAGTGTGAGAGCATGCAACCTCTGCTTGGTGAAAGGTAGCTGATATCAATGTTGTTAATAACCTGAACAACTTTCAGATATAGAGTAATGAATGGTTGAAGAGTACCTATAACTTTTGTTTTCCATGTGTGAGCCCTAAATCTTAAGAGTTGGTGGTATTTGTACACATGCATAGTAAATGAATGCCATGGTGTAAACCACAAACACAAAGCATTTCTCATTGGCTGTCATCTTGTGTGACGTCTGCCTGTCATGAATGGACAGATGGAAGATACAGGGGCTCTCATAGCAAGTGAGTGGCAGAGCTGGCCAAGCTGTGATATGGTTAAGCATGAACTTCCTATAACCATAAACAAAGAAAAGTAAAAAGAAAAACATACTATATTATTTTTACATACTTTCTAGATTATTTTTGGATTCAAATCTTAATTACTAGGAAATTAGAC